CAAAAATTGAAAAAAGTCCATAAAGAGAATGAAGACTGCTCATGTAGATAGAGAATTGCGAGCAAGCAACCCGCGAGAAGCGCATTTGCATAAAAATATCAAACAATAAACTCATAAAAAACATCTTTGGGACCCAAATAAAACTCCATTTGAAGCATTTGGAGATGGTTTATTTTTTGAGGAAAAATTTTATTGTCTGTTGAAAATAAGCCTCACATTTTTGGCTTATTTGGTGCGACTACAGCCCTGCCGATCTCAAGGCTTCTCAGCCTATACTTAGTGAGAAGGTGTGCCACTGAATGGCAAATAAAGAAAGACTGGCGATTGATTGTAGGCCGTTCTAGACATTATTTGTTGTTCTGCCATATCTGATAAGTCGACGACCTGTAATCTTTCTTTACCTGGAACTCCATCGATCTTCTATGGGTATCGATTGGACTTCCGTGGCATTGGAGAGTTTGATTCGTGTTTTCACTCCTTTAAGCATTTGCTTCGCCTTTGATTTGTTACTCACATAGTGTGAAGCTGTAAAATCTTAGTATTCATTACATCATTTCCATCAGTTAATAATGAAGTCATCTGAAAAATCACACAGTTCGAAAAAATCAACGTATGATCTCATCAATGAGTGTCCTGCTTATTATACATATATTTAAAGTTAAAAGGAAACTGTTTGGTTGTAAATAATTTACTTCCTCCTGGCCAAGCCAAATCGATACGTATATTACCTTGCCACAGATTTCAGTAGGTATTTATAGGCGTTAATTGCAAATGACCCAGATGGTTTAACGTGTGGGTGTAGACGATTTTTTAATGTAAAAGAGATCATCCAGAAGAAGGGCCAATTTACACATTTTTCCTGTTTTTTAATCATTGAATTTTCGCCAATTTATTCAACTTCAAGTTTCAGTTTTGATGTTTCCAATGATAATTAGATCAATAAATGAAGCAAAATGGAAATTTTTCCCAATGTTATTGCTGCCTTGACCCACTTAGTGTCTATGACGACTACACTAAATATACAAGAGTTGCATGATGATCTTTTATCAAATGCCCCCTTTTTCTCCATTTTAAGCCCTACTAATTTTTGATTTTATTTTTTGCAGTGCAATGGAGTATATTATAAGGTGCCTTCTGCTGGCGCTTTTAGGGCCATTTTTCACATTCGCCCAAGTTCCACAACGATTTACCGCACAAAATCCTTGCACTTCGAAGGGAACATGCCAGGAGTGCATCCAGACGCCGTCTTGTGCTTGGTGTTACGATCCGGTAGGCATTTTTTTAAGACGAGACGAATTAACATGCAAGTCGGAGTTTTAGGCATATTTACCGGTTTAAAAATCTCAACTTTCCAGCGCGGTTTATCTGCGTCGAATAATCCCACATAGCAAAATGATATTCCCAGAATATACCTGGAACATTCATGTGATGTACATGCATATTCCTGGGACATACATGAGTTACATTATGAAC